TGGCGGTGATACCAACATACTCCTTCGACGGGTCTGGTATTATCTGACTGAGAACGTGCAGGGAAAATGTTGCGCTTTCGTGTCGAACGAGACGTACTCGGTGCAGACACAGACGAGCCGCAATGAACGGTAGCCAAAACGTGGTCAGTATTTGACCGTGGCACAAGCCGTTTCGAAGCTTTCATCGCTACTATCCTGCTGAGAAGTAGCGCAATTTCCACGTCTTTAGGGTCAGATGTTCCTGACGACTGGGAGAAAACAGAGGATTCAGTTTTCATCGTTGAGAATACGTCACCGGAGCTAGTGGTCGTCTGCTGCGGAAAACGTTCGAACGCAGCGTCTGCCTTGGTAGCTAATTCTTTCAGTGGTGTATCTATAAACATGGACAGCAATACCGGCAATGGCTCTGGGAGACGTGCAAACCACAGCTCTTTTATCCCTTCTTCGCTCAGGAATAAGGGACCAGCGATGCACTGAAGTTCGCGGAGCAACGCCGACGGCTTGCGATCTCCAAGCTTGAGACCATTAAGCTGTTCAAATCGAGCTCGTGCGCTGGGCTGTAACTCTTTTAAAATCGCTTGCTTCATCGTTTCATACTTTGCCTCATTCGATGGGCAGCGTAGAATGTCCTCAATCAGCGTCACAACAGACGGAGGAAGACGTGGGACGAGCTGATTGTACCTCGGACGGTCCGCCGTAATGCCCTTATTTTCCAGTTCGATCTCGAATAACGTAAACCAAACCTCTGGACCGTGTTCCATGAAACTTGGAACAGCCAAAGTAAGCATGTTTACGCCGTGAAACGACTCAGATGCCACTCTCGAAATGTGAGTCGAAAGATAAAAATGAACAAAATCCGATAAAAGTACCAAAATTACGCAAGAAACAAATGAATACAGGTAAATAATCGAGAAAAAGGAACGAACTCACCAAAACTACGAACGAGGAAAAAAGTTGAATTCGCGCGTGCGAATCGGGGTCACAAATTTGTAGGACTAGTTAATACGAGTCCGAGACGGTGCCCGAAATTAAGCGCGGATATTAGAAGGCAATCGGAGTCGGACACAGCGAACTGTATTCGATGGGCTACAAGAAGACGTGGATGGATGAAGCGAGAAAAGAGCGAACACGTGAGCGCGGGAACTTACGGGGCTGTCGAGTGTCAAGCCGGTTGTAAGGACGATTAAAACAAGAAGGAATAATGTACACTCGGTCAACAAGTAGATTGTACATGAAAGATAAGAGTTATCTTTTTGGGCGCTACATATGGAGTAATGTGGGCCATAGCGTGATGGATTTAATGAGCGGGGTAACGTGTACATGATTGGAGAGGAATAATAATATAATAATATGTCATCTGTACACCATAACGGCGCATCGCTACCGCGCGACCACCATCAGTCGCGCTCGGGCCGTATAACACAAGGACGCCTACCCCTAAGCGGATTTGAACTGGTGACCTTATGATTGCAAGCCAGGCGTGCAGAGCACTCGGCCACCGGCCGACGGAGAGGAACAAGTTATCACCTTCGGAAGATCGGAATGGTTGTTGGTAGTCTTTCCCAGTTTATCCTGTAAATTGCTTAGCGAGAAAAATCCGCGGGTTCTGTGACTATTTGATTACTTAAGATGAAGCATGTCAATTGGTTGTTGTTACCATAGACACTGTTTAAGGCTGCACTTTGTGAATCGGCGTTTGCTAAAGTAACTACAAGACCTATTTTATTGGTCTACCTAATTGTTTTAGTAAAACGTTGTATCTAAGTACCTACTCTAATGGAAGCAAGGGAAGCTGTGTTTTGACAAGAATGGTTGGGAAGACTAGGCTTATCTCCGGTAAGTTGAAGCCGCCGGCTCTGCCTTTTTGTCTGTGTTTAAGAGACAAATCAATCTGACTGCATGGCTCTAGTTTTGCCAAACGTGTAGAGCAATCCCAATGGTCACTTGTATAATATCGCTCGTGAAAGAATGTGAAGAGTTGCTTGAAGCAGTCCAGCAGATGGCGGACTTCAGGACTTTGACATCGGAATAAAACAACACCGATCTTGTTCTATAGCTTTACGGTTCTTTATCAGGTCCGTTTACAACTATCTCAAAACACCAAGTTTATGCAATGGTACTTTGCATTCAACGTTACGGACGGCAAAGCCTAATTAACACACCCAGTGATCAACCCCACGTGATCCACACGCAGACGATGAAACAGCATTTGACCTATATCCATGACCACGTCGGCGCGTCAAAGCTCGTGACAATCATGAACGATGAAGGATTCACGTTAACCCACATCCACTCATAAGGCTGACTTATTTATGTCGCATCAAAACGCACCGAACACAATCTGAATTGGAATCACAGCCATCATGCGAGCACATGCTATAAGTATCTCTTTTACGCATCATTACTACTTTCACAATATTATCATTTATATTAGTGTCTAACCCGATTTGGTAACTAGTCTCGATTTAAACGGCACAAATAATGGGCTTGCAGAGATGCCCTACCTTCTGGTCATTGCCGAGAGGCTGTAGCCATTAGCCGCGGTCCAGATGGAAGGCTTTGCCGAGATTTGCACCGGCTTTCCGACAGTTCCGTTGTGTTGCTTGGATCAAATCCTAAGTTTCAAAAGGATCCATCGTAATAGCCCTTTCCTTATAAGTAGCTAAGACGGGTAATTCTCTTATAGATAAATTGACTACGTCGCCCGAAAAAACTATGAATTGTGATTATCTGTTTTGGTCAGTGCACTACGAATACAACAGATTTTGTCGAATTCGCCCGATATATCTAGAGCTAGTTCTCTGAACAGTGATCACTTGAGCGAACACAACGAAAGATGCTTATCCCTTAGTATCTAGGCCATAGAGACTGCCTAGCACAACACCCTTTCCACATCACTGCTTCACTCAAAAGTCGTCAGCCAAATTCCAATTGAATATGGTGCTTCTGTCTGGAGTGACGAGTAGTCGCAGACACAGGTCCTCGGGTGTCAAACTGTACAATGCGTTCCAACAGTCGAAATAGTCCGCATTTTACCCCCCAATGTCATGACAACAGAATCGTTGACTGGGTCCGCCAGACGTTTTGCGCACTGAAATCAAAGCCGTTAATCCCCAATGTGTGACAGTGTTGTAAGAACGCAAAACGCAGGCTCGATTGTTCATTGCGCAAACACAGCTCATACTAGGTGCATTCATTCTGAGACATCTACTCATCTGCGCTATCCTTGCTGGAGACTGTATGGCACGGGGTTTTTTCTGTGTCTAGTAGTTGTGTGGTGTGCATTGCTTATGCGTCTATTTCTCGTGCGCATACAACTGCGGTTGCAAAGTGTTCCTTTCTTTTAGGTGAGTCAGGACGCCCTGCTGTTGCTCATCCTTGCACCACGCTACTGCTAATTGGCGCAGTAGTGTCTGTCTTTAGTCCACCACACTCCCCCCCTAAAGTTCTCGCCTCAGCTGCCTTCGCTCGAAATCTCTGACTGTCGTGTATGCTCACTGTGCGAAGCGGGTTCTTCCTCTAATTCGCGCCACTTCCCCAACTCACTGGCATGTACTCGCCGTGAATCTCCTCACCGAGCGACGGTATACACTGCGCTTCGCAGGTCGACCACCTCCTAGCGTCCCTTCCACTTCGGTAGGAGTTTCCTCTCCCCTGCGCCACAATTGGGAGCGCGTTGCTGGTCCATGTATTTCACTTTCAAACCGATCGGAAACTCGACACTCATCTCACCACTGTAGGTGTTGGATTTCTCCATCTTCTGCGCATGAGTTGCTTTCAGGTTACAGTTGGCTGCCTTCCTGTTATCATGTGCCTTTTTGGAGGATATTCGGCAAGTTGGCCACATTCCAACCTCTAGATGCACAGGTAAGCGAGGTGCTCAACCGTACATCAATTGGAATGGTGACTTGTACCCAAATCGAGATTTTGGAGCTACGGCTGCAGGAGATTTGCGTTCAGCTATTAAATCTCAGGCAAGAGTAGATGCCGTTGAGTATAGACTAACCCAGTCGACCTGATGTTTCGGTTGGTGATCAATATTTCCCGTTCGACTACTACTAGATTATCAGGGCCCCTGCTTATTTTTGCTGAATTTTTTGATAAATTCGGAAATCTTAAAACGACAGGTTACTCGCTAGCGTTTCCAAGGAAGCAACTTTCACACACCCTTTCGTTTATTTGTCACTACACTTCACCAGTTGCATTCACTCACTGTGAATCGGTCTTGGAGTTCCCTCCCTCCTCGATTGCTTCTGCCACCCGGTTATACTCCTGGGTTATCCGCAGAGTGCATTTGCTGACGGCGGTTGTCGGGCACGCTGTACCAACCAGAGGGAGTCAAGCAGGTTGCTAAGCTCCTACACCTCGCATTGCGATATGTCGACACAGTTAAACTAGAAGAAGTTGATGCAATGCTCGCTATGAGAAGTATATGCTAGCTGTCTAGGTCCATTTGACCACTGCTTAATCACGCAGCTCAACATGACTTCAGCATTGAACTATTGGCAGTAGTTAGTTCGCTTAAAAACAACTAATGTGAGCTGTAATTTGACATCTAAGTAGTTATGCTGTCTAGCGATTCAGCTGTATAATGGTTGCACTTTAGTTAACGCACACTGTAGTTATTCCACCAAACAATAATGACCATCAACATGGGCATTTTGTGGCTCTATGGATATGTTCAGGTGAGAATGCTTGTTGAAGCCCTTAGGTCAAAATCCGTCACAGATCAAATATCAGAACATTCCTGTTCTTCTCTATTAAGGAAATTGCAAGTTTCGACTGGTTGAGTTCCCAGGAAATTACCGCATCTTCAGAAAAAGAAGGAATATGTGGAGTGATTAGTAGCCACCACTTAGGTCATGATGCCGCACCATCCACAACCGTACATTAAACGCAGCTCATATTTGTGTCTTGAATATTAACAGTTATTCGCTAACAATAACGTGGCTAAATGTTTTCCGCTTTGCTCATCTGTAGCACTCCACCGTAAAACACTTATGGACTCGCTTTTTACTCACGACAACCTGAAGGCTCTGCAGGAATTACTGTGCAATCAGGAAGATTCTGGAGGAGATGACGAAGAAGTGGTAAGCCCTGTGACACCGAGTTGTATTCTGTAAACCACAAATGAAGTTATTGAAAGATCGAGGTTCTCCTCATTCAAAATTTACACTTTGCACCGCCATTTCTGCTTTAACTGTGCGAAAATGGAACAGCCACTGACTTTGCTTATTCCCTGCGCCTGGAACCAACAGACTTTGTCGTATTCGACAACACTACTTTCGAAAACTTTGTCACCAGATGATTGGTTTTCAATGCTGGTTGCTTCTGAAAGACAGTTTAGTTCTTGTTGTCAGCAAACTTATTGACAGCAGTAGCAGTGGTCAAGGGTTGAGGATCATTGCAAGATCCGCTCCGTTGTCACTCCATGTGTACTTACGATTTGTGTAACCTACTCATGTGTTCAAGCTGGAGTCAGTTTAAGTATTTTCGATTAACTAACGGCATTGGAACCCGAGTGTTAGTTCGTAAAGGTACACATGGGAAGTTAGAATCTTATGTACTTAACAGCAGTGTGAAATGTTTGGAGTTGTAACAACACCTAACTGGCCACCATAGTCCCTAATGATTTCAGTTTCACACGTAGTGCTTTCACTTATTTGCCGCTTTATGTTTGGAGTGATTGAAACAAAACCCATAATTATGATTCGACCTGCTCGGTGCACTATTAATACCACAATGGTTAGGAGTCAACTTAAAATTACTCTATAGATTGGATTCAAGAAAGTGACGACGTTACACGATCTACTGTGCTGTCATCTGAATCAGTGTCGAAAAGGGCTATCCGACCTAGTTGTCAAGCCTTTCACAAAAGCGATTGGTTTCTTTTTCTTCAGAACTGCTCGTTCGCTGCGAAAATGAAGCCTAGTGACATTGTTTCGGAAAGAAGACCAAAAAGTGAGTGTGTACCAGTATAGACAGTTGGTTAACACGCATAGACGAAGCAAGATCAGGAGGGCATAAGGAGCAGACAGACTCCATATGGAAAGACGACGAAGTGCCTGAGGGAAATGAGTATGAAGAAATACATGACCCAAGACCACAGCCCCAGTGAGTCTACACGACCGTAGTCTACCGAAGCACTCTTTCTAATGGTTGGTTACGCAAACTCTGTTTTGATATTTATGTTCATTAAATTAGGCCAGTTCATGCTACCTGATGTCGTATCCACTATGGCGTATAACTTTGTTTCATTCCCAATTAACCTGGAGGCGATGGTACGCTACTTTTACCCACAGTTGCATAAAAGTTATACCGGGCCTCATCATACAAATTACCACGTACCCAAAAGTCTACGGCACGGCCCCGTTCTAAATGCTGAACACAGCGTCTTTTATTCCGCTGCATCACACTAGCATTGTCCATGAACATTTCTATTGGACACGCTATGCTTGACGACAACCCCCGAGAGAAACAGGCTATCGGATTTAATGTTCCGATGTTCGAAAAAAAACTTTTTGTTATTTGACTAAATTTCCGATGCTGGATTTGGTACAGATAGTTAATTTGATTGTAAAACTGTTGTGCCGGAGCCCCGCGACTACTTCTACCCACTAACGGTAGTGAGAACACCAATGACCGGGCAGAAAACGATGTTCACGCCGCACGCCAAACCGGCCACCAAGCGTTTGTGAGTGCAAACCAATCACATGATTCAAATTAGAGCATATAGACTATGCAGGAAGGCTGATAAGCGACCAATCCATGGGGCGAAAGATCGATACGATGTCTCACGAACGAGCGAAATGTACAGAGTGAGGGAAAAGGCATTAAGCACAAGATTCAGTGTCAATACAACCTAATCACAAATGTGAAGCAAAAGTGAACGTATGCCAGGAACCGTAAAAGAGGACGGGTTGAATAAGAGTGAAGGGGGAAAACTCACGAAACAACGGGGAGTGGTGGAGTTTTCTTACCACCGCTATAACAAAATCCTATTGTGGATACATATATGGGCAGGATGCAAAAGCGCCGCCAACGGCGCAACTGCTCAAAGTAGTCGGATCAAACAAACGACCAATGAACTAGTGATCCGAAAAGCCAAAGCGTCCGACCCAATCGCCGGTTGCGTGACATGTGGAGCACGCCCACCACTCTCACTCTCACAGTCAATCGGTTTGCTTTACCTGCCATGTGATTGGTCATCAACTGCCCGATAGGCCATGTGATGGCGATAACCTCTCCCCCTTCAGCAAAGTGTGATCCGCCTTGCTGGTGGTAACACAACAACTCTACAGTCGTAGCAATATAAATAGTTAATGGAAGCGGCAGTTGGTCAAATATTCCTGTACACAGTCAAAATTGCAACAAATAGGCCGTAATCATCAGGAAAGTCAAATAAGTAAAGAGCGTTACTCGTGCAATTCTCTGAAGCAGTTTTCCTTCTTGCTGAGGCACAGGTGAGCATTGCACTTTGTGCACCAGATCACTGTCTGACCCTAACATTTTGAGAGTTTGCAACGCTGTCTTGTACTTTGTCTCACTGGCCAGTGGCCCACAGAGTCTGACCGGACTTCCAGTGATGGAATTTCCTTAACTGGACCTTGGCGTTGCTTCTTTTTGAACGCGCTTTCAATTGATGATGAAGCTCTTCCTCTTCGACTTGTCTTGCATGATGAGTGACTCAGCAACAGATAATCTGAAAGCAAACCAATCTTGCTGTTTCTGTAGGGAACTGGCAGTGAGTCGCAACCACGTCGATAGAGTAACCAGCCGTTGACTACTACGATATGGACAAAATAGGAAAAACCTTTGGTAGTATTTTCTGGACCTGATATGGATCCCATAATATCAAATCAACGCAGCTCATGAAATTAGCATATAGTGTTATGATGCTAGGACACCCTACAGATACTTCTCAATGTTCTGTCCCATCTTTGGATATTACCAACTGGTTGAGCACTGGTAAAAGTACTGGTAACAAGAACTGCTCTGTTGTCAAACCATGTGAAAAATCTTACTGCCACATTGTCAATCATTATTGTCTTTGCTGCAACTCTCCTTCCCTTCTTCTTCATCTCAGTGTCCACTAAAACTGCAGTTTTGCAGCCGATTTGCTGTATTGTCCCAATGACTGGTATGTCCTTGTTAGAAAGAGCAAAGAATAAATGCAGTGAGAACAACAAGTTATCAAGTATAGTAAAGTGTTGACATTGTCGTGGATAACATGTGCAAGTTGCAGAATAACTTTCCCACTTGCACCGATGTCTGGTTCTCCAGCAACAGGAGCAATTTTCCCTGTGACTATCTCAGACGAATGTACAAGTCTTTTCGCATCGCAACACACAAAGGTCTTTTATCCCGTTGTGTGGCTTCATGGGTATATATTGCTTCAGGCTGGATCTTCCTTTGAATGGGACTATTTGGTCATCGATGCATAACATTTGGTCTTGAGGGAGACTGAAATATTGGTAACAGAACATGAATGATTGGTCTTATTTTGAAAAGCTTATCTTCACTGTTAGCTGCCATGTCAGTGTTATCATTGAAGTGGAAAAAGCTTTTAATTTGTTCCCATCTGTTTCGGCCCACCACCTGTGCTATTTGACATTTACCCGAACAGTACATTCGGGAATGAGGCAACATGAACATTACAATACCAATAATCAGTTCCAGTTCATTTCCATCTAACTGAAGTGCACTGTTCGGGTTCATCTGTGAACAGTAGTTACTTTGCTTCACAATGATATGTATCCGATCTGTGTCAAAAACTCTCTGAAATAATGTATAGGTTTCTATTATAACATCTGACTGTAACTGAACGCACTCCGAACGGGAAGCAAGAACACCACCGTGCGAGCCTAGCTGTTTTGAAAAACTGACGAAGCTGAGCAACCGGGATGCAAAAGATCAATAGATCAATTGGTCAACCACATGAGAGGACATAGTCCTGAATGGTGAGCGGTCTAGGTCTGAACGACTGTCGTGCGTGTGTCCAACACAATCACGTGACGAGGCAGTCACGAATGTCAAACAATCTAGCTGTGAGCGATTGTGAAGGGCAAGCCCGTTTAACACCTATAAACTGAACAGAATAGCATGCTACGTTTGATTGGTATGCTTTACATCTTGGGTTCACCTCGAGTCTCTGCACCTGCGCTCTGATTCGCATTGAGTATCTTCCATCTGTAGTTACGTTTTTTGTTTGGAAGACAGGCACTTCAGACGGAGTAATTTGATACGTATCCAGCAAGATGTCCAACGATTGTGAAGCTTCCTGTTTTTTGGACGTGCCTTGCACTTCAAAACGGGGTCCAATTATGGTTTACATGTCTAGTCCATATGATGGAATCCACATGTATTCTGTACAAAACACTTGAAAACCGTTCAAAGGCACCGCCAAGAATACAGGATGATCTTCCGTTACGAAAATTATTTACCTACACACTATCACCAGGCACGGAATGCCGGGAGCGTGTTCCATGATGGCGATTAAAAGCCAACTCCATTTTAATATTGCGTTCTCCCTTGTGTATCGATGGCTTCAAAGCATCAAGGACGGTTCTGACACGTCTACCGAGAAACGCTTCGGATGGGGATATGCTTTGAGGTACTGCTGGACCTGGCGTCGTACGGTAAATCTGAAGAAGTTTGTCGCAGATTTCCTGGATATTCTCCTCTCCTTCCAATTTAATTAATGCTTGCTTAAACGTATCGACAAAACGTTCAACCTGCCCGTTTGACTGTGGTTGGTACGCTGGAGTGCGTATGTGTTCGATGCCATGTGAGTTGCAAAACTTGGCAAATTCTTGGGAAGTGAATTGGGAATCATTGTCCGAAACAATCGTTTCGAAAACACCGAATTCTGAGATAAGATGGCGTAGGTGTAACAAAACTGTGAAACTGGTTGCTTATCTCATTTTAGAAATTTCAGGCCACTTTGGGTAAGCATCGACAATTACCAGATAGTGGAAACCCTCCAAGGTTCCAGCAAAATCAATATAAATAAATAGACTTTTATTCTCGGCTAAGGGAGGCACGCCTGAATAGGCATGATCATAGTAAGAGTGCAACAGATGATCAAGGAACGTACAATAGAATAGTCATAAAAGTGAAATATTTGTTGATACTTGAAGGTATTTATGCGTACGTGCATGCGTCTGTAGCTGTGTTGCTCGGCTTTGTAAAGGTTTTGCTGGTTTTGCTTGTTTCTGAACGTATCGCCAATGCTAAAGGGATGTTTGACGTCCGTGGATTTGCAATGAGTGCACGGACGAGCATTACGTTCCTGGTATACAATGCTTCTCCATTATGAAAGAAGGGACAGTGACTTTATTTAGCGGCAAGTCACAACCGCCACGTCGCAGTGTTGTTAAACGGACCTTTGTGGCTCTTTTAGGGAGAAAGCTTGCCAAACGAAAACCCAACACGTCCTGGAACACTGCCGCCTAACTATTTGCTGGAACGGGGTAAACTAGGACCAACCAGCTGGCACTACAGGGAGGTTGTTCGGCTAGCCAGCCACTTGGAGTTTGCCAAGAATGGAGCTCACATTTGACAGGTAGTTTTGGTGCCATAGCGCAGCTGTTACAGCAACGAACCACATTTCCAATATCCTGGTCCATGAATGACCGGTAGGCATAGCTGCGGGCTATGGATTTCATACGACTGCTTCCCGGGTGACCTTCGTGGAACTGACTGAGAACCATCTTTCGTAGGATCTTAGGAATCACAACTCGGTCAAATAACATCAAGCAACCATCAGTGATGGTTAAGGCGAACTTCCTTTTACGCAACTGCTCACCATAGCTGTCCAAGTGGCGTGCAGGCCAACCAGTGCTAAGGTACCCCATAATACGTTGTAACAGGGGTTCTCTTGCGGTTTCTATTCTAACTGCGTCTGCTGTTACTAAAAGTTGACGTACAGATGCTTGAAATACCTGTCTAATCTCGGGATCTAAGGTAATGCTGAACACAACAATGTCTTAATCCGGTGTCTTGGACGTGCAGTCGGCAATCAGTCTGGGTAGTGCATCAGCATGACCAAGCGACGAGGTACTTCTAAAACGCAAATCGAAATCGTATGCTAATAGGGTGGTTGCCCAACGCTA